CACATAATACAACAAAAAGGCACAAAATAATGACAGGCAATATGCAACTGGAGTCTCTTACTATGTGCACCTTACAGCATGTGATTGTGTGTCTTACTGTGTGCCTCATAGTGTCGTACTTCGAAATGTTTAACTTGATTATATGCCTGTAAACTCAGTGTTTCCAGTGTTGTTTGTGCCTATTTATGTGGCCGCGTTTAATTTTGCATAGGTATACTGTGTGAATTTTCACTTGCATCCTCTGGTGTTTGTATGTCTGCACACAGAAAGGGGAAATAAAGGTGAAATTACATAGTGGGGCCAGCAGGCAGGACACCCGCTTGAAGTACACTCATTTTCTCATCTCTCACATTGGACAACCTGCTGCTCCTCAGGAAACAAATAATGGCTTAGTCATAACACCTCGCCAACACACCAAAGAGCTACTCACTAGAAATAGCAGTGATTTTACCACTGAAAAACATGCCCACCTCCCTATACAATTTATGTCAGATTGTACAAAAAGTCTGCCAAAAGAGTGGAGGTGGGTCTAAATTAGCCCCGGCCTCCTCACTCCCACACCCCATGTGGTTTGTCTGATAGCGATACTGGACACGTGGCACTATATGATAAAACACTGCAGTACTATAGTGGTACCGTGGATGGATTACTGAATGGGCCTATTGGGCACAAGCCCAATGTCACGAGGCCTGGGCCAGAGCTTCTGTATGTAGTAGACTACAAATACATGCAAAGCAACCACAGATGAACAAAAAATGACCACAGAATTACAAAATGACCACAAAGACATGCAAAACCATCCCAAAACAACTACAAAGAGACAAAAATATTCACAAAGAAAAATGCAGGGACTGCAAGGAGCTACATAGCTATCAAACTGAGATGCAAATCTTCCAAAAACGCACACAAATCAATCACATAGAAGTGCAAGACTATTATGAAGAGAATCAGAGCAACTACAAAATACACTAAAGGATGACTGGTCCAAGGGGTGGGGGGCCTTTTGCTTGTTTGTGCCCAGGAGCCTATTTGCTCATAATCCATCCATGAGTAGTACCAAACCATATTGAATGTGTAGTGCCAGCTTTTAGATTTAAATACTGTGCATAAATTCCATTTGAGGACATTCTTTATTGTTAGACCTCAGCTGTTATCAAATCTACATAATTTTATCAAAAAAAAAACATTATTTATTGGTGTTGAGCATTTTCTGGAGTCAAATTTGCCTGACACTGTAAGCAGCTGATGAATCAAAGGCAAAAAATCTACAGTAACCTCATCAAAAGGCCATTATGATGAGCAATGCATCATTTGAGTTCTTGGTTTTAATTGACAATTAAAATATGTAAGTTAATGTATCCATTTAGCTAATTGACTTTTCTATTAGGTACAAACCCATTAGAGGTTATTTATCATGCATTTTTAATAGTTTCTTTATACTGCGTCAAATGCAGTTCTTGCTCAAGTTATTTTCTGCCAGTCCCTTTCTATAAAATCTCTCCAAGGATTTCAGACAAACTGGTTTTAAAGGCTTGATTCCTGTGACGGTACAGTATTATGCAGTGTCTACACGTATTTCTGAATTTGGTTCATCAGCATCCTTATGATAATTATTTAGGACTGTATTATTCAATAGCAGTGAAGCAACTTTGACAGATGATATAACATTGAAAATTACTTTTACATTAAGCATAATATTGAAAAGCACAGTATTGTAGCTAGAACTTAGCCATAGCTGTATCAAGTTTTGCGTCTTGCTTACTTTGTCAAACCAGATTTTGTTCAGTGTTGTAATCATGTGAAGCCAGTTGAACTGACATTCTTGCATTGAAATTAATTGACTTGCACTTATATAGAGCTTTTTTACTGTAACACTCAAACCAAATTAATAAACCAAACAATTAATTCACCCACTCATTGACAGAGCCACATTCATACCGGTGGGGTTCTGAACAGCTATACAAGATCACTGTGAGTAACTTGGGGCTCAGTGTCTTGCCCAAAGACGCTTTGACATGTGGACTGGAAAAGCCAGGGATCGAACTGCCAAACCCGCGATTAAGGGACAACCCACTCGACCTCCTGAGCCACAGTCATCCCTAAATGCTGCTTTGCAATAAAACACCGTGCTAGGGTAAATGATGCTGAGCCATTTTAAACAGCATCTGAATCGTGCTCAACTGCAGTGAGTTGAGCTGAAAGAGAGCAGAGCACTGTGTGAGCCAAATGCAGGCAGCGTGCAGGGCTGATCCTGCTGAGGAGTATTTAGGTGGACAGGGCAGGTGTTGTGTCAGACTGAAGCCAACCGCACCACCTGCTGTCTCTGTAGCACACTGTAAGTTACAGATGGAGAACTGCTTACAGTAGTACCTTCACAGAGATGACTCTGCATGTGCACAAAAGATAAAGGATTGAAACAGACTATGTTCTCCATCCTTTCAATGTTGACTTTCACTAAGCAGTTTAGGAACTACAGTACCCTCCTTCCACACACACAAACAGTGATGACTTTGCTGGTTAACCCTCAGCCACACTACTCTCCACTGTCCTGCTGTGAGCGCATACTTTACTACTTGTGTTTGTTTGTGTGTGCCTCTGTGATTGAGTGATTACATGTTTACCAGCATGTGTGTGCACATGTGTGTATATCTCCTGGTGTGGTGCGTTGGCGTTGCATCTCCCACCCATTCATGCAGATTCCAGGCAGCCAGGAAATCCTCTGGTGCCTCCCTGCTGTTAGCTTCTCCTAGCAGGCTGGAAGTGGTGGGTGGAATTTTATCCTGGAGCTTTCTGATGCTGCAGGCAGATGCCTCCCCGTTTCTACTCTCATCTTGCTGCTCACCTGGGGACTGATGCCAGCCATCGAGCCCCACTCCCACCCTCTTTCCTCTAACCCTGGAGGCCCTCAGCTTTGCCAAAACAGGAGTGAATGCAGGAGTGAGGGTTGGCAGATATATCAATACCAGCATAAGCTCCACATACAGATGACATACAGTAAAAGTGCACACACACAAACGTGATTGACATGTAGAAGCTGCCAAACACCACATTCATCAGGGCTGTAATTAAAATATATCACCTTTGTTTTATGACTGTGCACGCACTCACTTGTATACTAACGTATATGAACACCCCCCCATACACACACACATACTGTGTAGGCACTTCCTAAACTGAGACTGCCCTCCTTTAAAGCAGCAGTGTCCATTGGCCAGTTGAGCTGGTTGGATGGCTCCATAAATGCTAAGCGTCTCTGTGCCATTAAACCCATCTTGAGTGCCCTGTGTGAGTGCTCCTCGCCAGTACACTTCATGTTCATCTAACCTTCTGGTAGCTGCACTTGTTGAACCTTACTTTCTTATTGAAAGTTAGAGAGAGGGGTAAGGAAGGTGATGGGAAAGTGGAAGGCAAGGGTGGAACAGACAGCGAACACTAGAGAGGGGTGTTACAAGCAGTATGCTCTCAACTGGCAGAATAAATTGAATATGTACCTGTGAATAGTTTTCAGTGGAATTTTTTGCTATTTAACATTTTAATTTGAGGGAAAGTACTCCATTTTTATACATACTGTAAAGCAAGTCAGTGAGAAAACTTTATGGGTCATCTCAGTTTATTGGCAAGCTAAAGCAGCATGCATGTTTTATTTCAGCTCATTCATTTAATTACTATTACCAGATGTTCACTTTGTCTTTGTTATTTGTGGTCTCTTTTGTGTGTGTGATATTTGATAAAGAAGAGAAGCCACAATTATGAATTGTGTTATATATGCCATCAAACTTAACACAAGATGTCAGCTGAGAGTCAGAAAGGAAGAGTAATGGGAAGACAGGAGGGTTAGTTATAAATAGCAATGGTCTCTCTAGGATGGCAGGTTTTTAATTAACAATAGAGAGCATCTGATAATCCACAGTTAATCCAGAGGAGAAAAGGGAGGAGAGGAGAGAAGAGAAAAATCATCAGCTGTTTGATGTTTGGACTACAAGTCCCTCCTGGCCCTTCCACTGCTCTCTGCTGTGATACCCATATGCCCAAATGTATTTATTTTATGAAACAGCCATGCTCCATATTTTGTGATTTACTTTGTCTGACTAACCGCTGTCCGTTCCCATTAGTGTGACTATCTGCATGCTTCTCCTCTTAAACTGACTGGGATTCTTTGTGCTTGTGTGTGCTGTTAGTGGATAGGGGCCGTTTGTTTAAAACTAGCCAACTGAAGGCCCCGATGGCTGGAGGCGTCCGCTTAAAGTCCTTCGACTGTTGAAAGGCTCGATCTGTCGGGGAAACGCTGGGACATGTCAGGCTTGCTTCACACTCAAAGGGAGTCTGCTAGACACTGTGAGCTTAGAGGGAAATGGGGGTGGTATTTGTTCCTCTCTTTTTGAACAGCTGCAAAGACACCAACAAATATGTTGTTTGTACATACTGTGATACTTTATTTGCTGGGGCTGGGTTGAGTTTCATTTGATTCAAAAAGAATCTGAGTTTATTTTATTTCTGATTTGCTGCATTCATTAGATCTGCAGTTCTGTGGCAACAGTACAGGCTTCACTTGCTTCACAGACGTAACACCACGACTCTGTGCTCATGAATAGATGATGTAAATGATTTTATTGTATCATATCCACCAAGCTTTATCTACGTATGGGACCACAGGTTGGGTTGTATTTTGCAGTTTTGGTGGGGATAGCGGTTCCAGGGATCAAACACAGTGCCATATTACTGATCAGTCTAAACTGAACTTTAGTTTCTTACTTCAGACTACCAAAAATAAAAAATAAAAAAACATATATATGACAAAATATTTAAAACCTACAAAGTTTAGTGCTCCTCTTCTAATAATGAGATTCATCTTTACAGTATCTCCCCTCAAATCTTTAGGTATGGATAATGAGTTTAAATTAAAATTTCCTCTTGTTGTCACTGAGCAGATTCAAGAGATAAAATAATTGAATCCAGGTAACTTTTTAAAAGGTTTTCTTTCTGTCTTGCTGGCATTTCAGGGCAGAGTCTGGGCTATGGATTTGTCAACTACATTGATCCAAAGGACGCAGAGAAAGCCATCAACACATTAAATGGACTCAGACTTCAGACCAAAACAATCAAGGTAAGAGACACTATTTACAGCTAAACAAGCTCATAATTCACCATATTTTCCTTACATACACATTTGCTTTAAATAATTAAATGAGAAAAGCATTATTATAAAATATAAAATTTCAATCACAGACTATAAAGTTACAAATTATAAAGCTGTGGAGGTGATAGTAAACTTAAATGATACTTTCTCCTTTCTTCATTCTCAAAGCCTTTTGAAATGGCAGTGCTGTTAGTGAATGAGCTGGAGGGCCAGATGGGATTAACATGCATGGGCCTCAGAAATAAAAAGACCATCGAAATCAAAGGAATGCATTAAAAAGCATGTGACTATAGCTGATATGCTAATTAGTTTGTAAATGTCAAATTGCAAAGGTGAATTTATATAGATATCTCTGAGTGAAAGGAAAGGAACGCGTCAATCATCACGTTTTCCAAAATAATTGAGGGATCTGTTATTGCATTTTAATGGCATGACTAATGTGCAGGCTTGGTGGTGGTTGTCACAGAAGACATAAATCAACACCAACGCTGTGCTGTCCCTCCTCCAAACATGTTTTGAAGACTAAAAATTCAATCTTAAAAGCACTCGTTTCTGCAGATGTTTTACATCGACATATCAATCTGTCTGTTGATCTCATTTTCCCCTCTGCCGTCTTCCCCTCTGCTCTGTGCCGTCTGATATGTTTTAAGCCGGCCAGTAATCTGCTGCTCTGTGGTAATCCCTGGATTCTCACTTTCTGTCATCTGATCTGATCTAATCTAATCAGATGGGATTAGTCTCTAGTTGCGAATGGGGAATCCCACACAGAATCCCTTCATTGCCTCGACAGTGTACAATGTCTGGCACGGCTTTGGTTCAGCACAGTGTCCTGGTTCCTGTCTAACTTACTGTATGACAGAAAATAGAGAGATGGAGAGTAATATATGAATTGTGTCTGTGTGTTTTCTGTATGTTTTGTATTACACCTATCCTTATCCTTATCCTTATTAGTGAATATGTGTGTACGTTTCTGTTTGTGGTGGATATGTAGTAGTTTGATGTGTAATGGTGGGTGGATCAGTGTCTGTCATCTATCTGATTTGGACACAGCGGCAGTTTCATCAAAGCAGGGCACTTGCTGATCAAAGATTATAAGTATCTGGATGCACCAAAAGATAAAGAAAGGGTGTGGTTGCACGTTTACAACAGGGCGGATCTAGAAATTTTTAGATGGGCTGGGGCACAGACTCAGACAGGGATGGCACATTAAGTATACGCGTAAAGTGTCAAATAGTTTTGTCTTGTTTTTTTTTTTTTGTAAATATGACACACACAGTGCTTTCTCTAGCTAACTTTGGCTACACTTTTAATTTACTCTTAGCCGGGAACAATGCTGCTGCACAGTGCCCCCAAACCTCCCAACAGTATATAATTGTTGGAGGTTTACTTGAACACCACTCAATTTTTTTTTCATTCAAGTTAATATCAAGCATCAAAACAGCTGTTAACTGTTTTGTATTTAAATGATGGCTTCGTTGAAAGCCTTTATTTCTTTATAAACAGACCCCCCATCCCCCAAACGTTTACTAAAAGTCATTTAAAAGTTCTCCAAGTGATGCGTTCAGTATCTTGGCAGTGATAAATACTGGAATATTAATTAGCTGAGTGAGCCTTTTTAAAACTGAGTCATGTAAATGTCATCTCATGGCCAGGATATCCAAGAAAAGCTTAGAAATGAAGAGCTGCGATGTGCCAGTAATAAGATAAGATGACGACAAATTTGTTTGCCGAACCATCTTCACAGCGTGTGGTACTCAGAGAGAGAGAGAGATGCATTTTTGTGATTTGAGAACTGAAAAAGCTTATGAACAATATTATTCAAAGATTGTCAATATTGTAAAAATAGTTGTTGTTTTTTTCAATACAGAGACTGGACTGTAGTAGACAGAGTACAAATTTTCACTCTCACAACACAAAAGGTTGCCTCAAGTTGTTCGTGAGATAAAGGCAGTCTTTGTAATGACAGTAGACATCTCTGCATCTCTGTCTGGCACTATCGCTCCTTTACACTTCATTTCCTCTCTCCCACTACCCTCTTTTCCTTGCTTTCTCTCTCCACAACAGACTGAAATACCCTAAAGGTAACAAGGTAAATTAAAAGGCAGCACGGTAATTTCAAAATTAACTTTGTCGCTCTTTCATGTCACGCCGTTCCCATTCTCTGTCACTGCACCTGTGAGGAAACACTTGGCCCAGAGATCCACATGCTCTCAGGCGATGTGTCTCTCTGTAGTGTCTGAGTTAGTGTCACTGCTGCAGTTTCCTCCACCATGACACCTCAAATTTTTGTCAGCGATGGCTGCAATGCTACTTTCCTACTGAGGTGTGAGGGGAAGCAGCATGCCAAAGGTGAGAGGAGCTCACAGTGACACGTATGCACATAATCTCAGACACATTTATACAGTGCGTGCTTGTGAACTCTTTAATCTTCACACTTAGTTTTTCTAACTTTCCTACATACACACATGCTTCTGGTTCACACATGCACCACACTTGTACACAATAGTGCTCACAGCTTGAGGAGGTGTTGATGGATTAGACATCTGGAGTTGGCTGACAAGGAGAGAAAATGAGGGAGAGCTGCACAGAGAAGAAAAGAGAGGGGGAAAGATGAGAAAGGTTTAGTGAGGCAACATGCAGGAAGGAAGGAGAGAAGCAGGAGGAAAAGATGCAGGCAGCAAAATTGCAGAGAAATGTGGAGAGGAAGAGGAAAACAGAAGGGCTGAGCAGAGAGGCCAAAGAGGAAGATTTGTGAAAGAAAAGTGAGACATGTTGAAAGCCAACTGTTCTCACTCCCATTCTCCCT